CAAAATTCGTTTGAGGACAACAATCAAAGATTGTGTTTGAGCCTTCAATTTCTTCATATATATACTTTGCTATTTCTTCATCTCCTATACTTCTTTCGATTTTTAATTTTGTTTGTAATTCGTTCTCATAATATCTTTGGTGGAGTAACATTATTTCCAACAATCTCAAATGAATTTTTGTGATGGAAAACGAAACTACAATGGCGACCATTAAATTGATGAATCAAGATTTGGTTCGATTGGATCGGTTCGATGGCACAAATTTCACAAGGTGGCAAGACAAACTGAAGTTTCTTCTCACCGTATTGAAGATCTTCTATATCTTAGACCCAGAATTGACGCCATTACCGGAACCCACCAATGGAGAAACCGAAGCAGTTAGAGCAGAAAGGTAAAAACGATAAGAAGATGAACTCATATGTCGGGGTCACATACTCAATGCTCTTTCAAATCGTTTATATGATTTGTACACCAACACTTCTTCGGCAAAGGAGATATGGGAGGCTTTAGAAAGCAAATACAAAGCAGAGGAAGAAGGTACAAAGAAATTTTTAATTTCAAAATATTTTGATTTTAAGTTTTTGGAAAATATTCCCCTACTTCTCCAAATACATGAGTTGCAAGTCCTTGTCAACAAATTAAAGGAGGTAAAGATTGAAATCTCGGAGACCTTTCAAGTGGGGGCTATAATAGCAAAACTCCCGGGAACTTGGAAAGGATACCAGAAGAAAATTATGCATAGTTCCGAAGATTACTCTTTGGAACAATTGCAAAAGCACCTAAGGATTGAAGAAGAGTCCAGGTTACGCGATAGAAGTGAAAACTCTTCGGAAGGAACTTCTAAAGCGAATGGCATAGAGAAATCTGAACCACCTGGAAAAACCAAAAAAAGAAGCCTTCAAGAAACTTTAACAAGTTCAAGAAGAAGAACAAAGGAGGTTGCTTTGTTGTGGAAAGTCTGGTCACTATGCAAAAGACTGTAGACACCGGAAAAGAAACAACTCCGAAGGTAAAATCAACTCCATTCAAGAAGAAAAGATTGTGGCCACCATGAGCGAGATAAATGCAATTAAGGGAAAGGTTCCCGGGTGGTGGTATGATACTTGTGCTACGGTACATGTATCATATGATAAATCTTTATTCAAGACCTATCATGAAATGGATGGAGACCAAGAGATTCAAATGGGCAACGAAGTTCGATTCAAAGTCATTGGTAAAGGAAATGTAGATTTAATCTTCACTTCCGGGAAAAACGTTACCCTCACTAATATATTACATGTTCCGGATATGAATCGGAACTTAGTTAGTGGAAATCTCTTAGGAAAATCGGGTATCAAAAGTGTGTATGAATTCGGTAAACTTGTATTATCCCTTAAAGGGAATTTTGTTGGAAAAGGCTATTCTTGTGAAGGAATGGTCAAACTTTGTACTGTTGACAATAAAATAAATAAAGTTGATCTTGCTTATGTTGTGGATTTATTTTCATTATGGCATGCTAGGTTAGGACATATTGGTAAAAGTACCATGAAACGAATGAAAAGTGTGACTTAATTTCATATGATGAAAATAATGAATATAGATGCAAAACTTGTGTAGAATCTAAGATGATTAAAAAACCATATCAAAGTGTATAAAGAACCTCTAGTATTTTGGAACTAATTCATACGGATATATGTGAATTAAACGGCATGTTAACTAGAGGTGGAAATAGGTATTTATTACCTTTATCGATGACTTTTCTAGATATACATATGTGTATTTAATGAAACATAAACATGAAGCATTTAACATGTTTAAGATTTATAAGAATGAAGTTGAAAATATTTTGTAAACAACGTGGCAAAATTCACCAATATTCTGCCCTAGGACACCCGAACAAAATGGTTTGGTTAAAAGAAAAAATAGAACTTTAGTAGAAATGATTAATGCCATGTTTATATATGCTAAGTTGTCGTTTAATTTGTGGGGTGAAGGTTTATTAAGTGCATATTGGATACTTAATAGGATTCCTTCAAAACATATTAAGGTTTCTCCTTATCAATTATGGAAAGGAAGAAAACCAAACATTGGATACTTCAAAGTGTGGGGGTGTCTTGCCTATTGCAAGAACACGAACCCTAATAGAAACAAATTAGGTCCAAGAGGCATTAAATGTGCTTTTATTGGATATGCTAACAATAGCAAATCTTATAGATTGTTAAATTTGGAGACCAATGTGATTATTGAATCAAGTGATGTAGAGTTCTTTGAAGATTCGTTAACTTCGAATAACGAATTAAGGGAAAATCTTGCAAATATCCCAAGCTCAAGTGGAACATGGGATGAAATATCTTCTAAAGATATTAATGAATCTAATGAACCACGAAGAAGCAAAAGAACTCGAGTTAAGAAGTCTTTAGGACTGGATGAAATTGATTCTCAACTTATCTCCTTTTACTTAGTAGAAGGAAATGAGTTGAATGTTGTAAGAACAATTCCTTTTGTTCTACAAGTGGAAATCGATTCTAAAACTTATAAAGAAGCTATGGCTTCTCGAGATAGCATGTTTTGGAAAGATGCAATCAAGGATGAAATGGATTCAATAATGTCAAATAAAACTTGGGAACTTGTCGATCTACCACCCGGATCCAAACCTATTGGTTGTAAATGGGTATTTAGGAGAAAATACAATGTTGATGGTTCTCTAAATACTTTCAAAGCTAGACTTATAGCCAAAGGTTATCGACAAAAGGAAGGAATTGACTATTTTGACATTTATGCACCGGTAGCAAGAATAACTTCAATTAGGATATTGTTTGCATTAGCCTCGATCTATGACTTGCATGTTCATCAAATGGATGTCAAAATGGCATTCCTAAATGGGGATCTCGATGAGGAGGTCTATATGGAACAACCAGAAGGTTTTGTTTTACCAAGAAATGAACATAAGGTATGCAAGTTAATTAAATCGTTATATGGGATAAAGCAAGCACCTAAGAAGTGGCATGAGAAATTTGACTTAGCAATTATATCATATGGATTTAAACATAATAGTGTAGATAGATGTTTGTATTCTAAAGTATGTGATGATTACATGATATTTATATGCTTATATGTTGATGACATGTTGATTATAAGTAATCACATGGATGGGATAAAAGAAACGAAGAGGTTTCTATCTTCCACATTTAAGATGAAGGATCTTGGACAAGTTGATACTATTTTGGGTATCAAAGTCTCAAAGACTAGTGGGGGTTATTACCTTAGTCAATCACATTATATTGAGAATGTGATAAATAAGTTCAAACATTTGAACATAAAAGAGTATAATACCCCTATTGATCCAAACTCAAAACTTGTAAAAAATGATGGAAGAGAAATTGCTCAATTAGAGTATGCAAGTGCTATTGGAAGTCTTATGTATGCAGTTTAATGCACAAGACCAGATATAGCCTATGCAATAAGTAAACTTAGTAGGTTTACTAGCAATCCAAGTAATGAACATTGGAAAGCAATTGGGAGAGTTCTCGGATACTTAAAGAAAACCAAGAACTTAGGTCTACAATATACTAAAATTCCAATAATATTAGAAGGATTTACTGATGCTAGTTGGATATCTAGCACGAATGAAAGTAAATCAACTACGGGTTGGGTGTTTACTCTAGGAGGAGGTGCAGTTTCTTGGAAGTCAAAGGAATGAAAATTTGGCGGATCCTCTAACTAATCCTCTAAATAGAGATTTAGTGGCATCTACTTCAAGTAGGATGGGATTAAAACTCCTTAACTGAAATATCCACCAATGATGGCAACCCTACCTGTCGTTACTCAAAAGGTTTTACACGGGTTCAAAGGGTAACAACAAGTCATTCGATATGTGGATAGTTACAGCATTATTATAATCCGCAATAATCCTATCCTAGATTAAAATAATGCTGGTTGTTACTGAAACGAGGGTTGAGCTATAAGCTCTTAATAAAGTTCAGTGTAAAACTGCAAGTACTTCTAAAAGTAACAAAGGTACTGGAAGAACTTTACCTAAATAAACTTCAAGGTGGTGCCGCTTTAATAGAGAGTTGGAGTTCTCTCTTAAAAGTTTATTGAAAAGGATAAGCGCAAGGCCATAAAAGCGCTAAGCGAGAAACGAGGAACTTGAGAACACGTGATATTCGTGTGTGTGTTCTTACCGGTATTGTCACATAAAATACTTGGTTCAAAGCTTCACGCTACCTTGAATTTCGATTTTACTTTGTTTGAATTACACTATGGTTAGATTCAAATCGAAAGATATCTAATCCTTACGCATGAGTATCGTGTAATTTGAATATGAGAACTTGTTAATTTTGAACAAGTGGGGGATTGTTATGAAGTGGTATGATTGTTCAAAATCAACAATAAAAAAAAATGAGTTAGGCCATGCGGTCGCATGGAACCCTACCGAGACCAAATGGTCTCGGTAGGATTGTACCATGCGGCCGCATGGTACAGAAAAGTCGACTGTTGGGTTGTTTTTTGTTGGTTTTTTGGTGGCTTTTTATCCATAAGGTGCACCACTTCGTGAAGCTATACTACTTGGCTATAAATAGGTGATCTTGGGTCATTGAAAAGGTGGAAAAAAAAAGAAACACCTATTATATTGATACTTCTTGAGATCAAATCCAAAAGAAAATACCCTCTCATATTCATCTTTTTCTTTGTGTTCTTAAGTTTTAGAGATTCAAACAAGTGTTTAGTGTTTGAATCTCTATAAGGCTTGATTAATCCTTCAAACCTTTTGCCGGATCACCCTTTAAACACCAAAGTAGTGGGGGCAAAATTCGTTTGAGGACAACAATCAAAGATTGTGTTTGAGCCTTCAATTTCTTCATATATATACTTTGCTATTTCGTCATCTCCTATACTTCTTTCGATTTTTAATTTTGTTTGTAATTCGTTCTCATAATATCTTTGGTGGAGTAACATTATTTCCAACAAAAACTGCTCTCGGTGGAAACAGACCCATTGTTGGGCTTGATCCTGACCTGATGGAGATTAAGACTCGACTGGTTAGTGAATCGTCACACCTTGAAACTGTCTCCATTGTTGGAGTGGGCGGAATGGGTAAGACTACTCTCGCGAAAGAAGTTTATGATGATGCATATATCCAATATGATTTTCATATTCGTGCATGGGTGACAGTGTCTCAAGAATATAGCGTGCGAGAAATCATACTAAGCATTTTCAATTCCATACCAAAAAGCACTGATAAGATGCAAAAAAACGAAACTCACGGGAGACATGAAGAGAACACTGAGGGATTAAAAGAACTTCTATACAAGAGTCTGAAGGGAAGAAACTATCTAATTGTGATGGATGATGTGTGGGATGACGATTGGATGAATTACGACGATCATTTCCAAATGACGAGGATAGAAGCCGAATCGTGCTGACTACCAGGCTTGAACAAGTTGGACTTCATTGTCCCAGACCTTCTCTTCATCACGTGCATTTTCTAAACGAGGATGAAAGTTGGACTTTATTTCGTAAGAATGTGTTTGGAGAAAATAGTTTCCCTCCTGAATTTGAAACTACTGGGAAGAACATTTGCAGAAATTGTCGAGGAATTGCACTATCAATCATTGTGATTGCGGGGCTCCTTTCGAAGGCCACCAAAACACATCATGAATGGGAAAAGATTGCTGAAAACATAAGTTCAGTAGTAACTTCAAATGATGAGCAGTGCTCAAAAGTATTGCACTTAAGTTATAAAAATTTGCCTCATCATTTGAAATGTTGTTATCTCTATATGGGGATTTTCCCAGAAGATTTTAACATCCCTGTCTCCACACTTTTCAAGTTGTGGATTGCTGAGGGATTCGTGAAGTCCATGGGATCTAAAACTTTTGAAGATGTGGCAGAAGAATACTTATTGGATCTTGTACATAGAAGTCTTGTTATGGTTTCTAAGGAGAGTTCCAGAGGTAAAATAAAAACATGCAAGCTTCATGATCTTTTAAGGAACTTATGCACAAATAAAGATAGAAGAGGAAATTTTTTTCCTGTCAGCACCCGTGGAATTCCAATTAGAGATTAGACGTTTACGCCATACAATTATTCATCGAGGAAAAAGCATTGGAAGTGGAAGCCGGGTAAGTATCCATCCAGACGAAAACTTTCTTCATCGTGTCAGAAGACCATCTACTCCTTTACCACGGTCAATTATACATTTTGGTAGGTTTGACACAAAATTGGTTTATTTTCGGCTATTCAAAGTATTTTATATCCACTGTCAAATTATCTATTTGCCAAAACAAATAATGGAACTAGTTAACTTGCGGTACATCAATGCCGGATGAGTTGAGGGATGGTATCTTGCATCAATAGACAAACTTCGGAATCTACAAACCATCATTCTTCATTCTTATGGGAAGTCATTTGAACTACCACAACAAATATGGAAGATGCAACAATTAAGGCATGTCCAGTTGGGAATGCATACCACTTTTCCTTGTCCTCCCAAGGCAAGAGTTAAGGGAGAAATTTCTGTTATTGTTCTAGAAAACCTACAAACACTATCGGTCTTAGAAAACTTCAGATGTACAGAGGCGATGCTAAAGAGAATTCCAAATCTGAAGAAATTAGGAGTCCTTTATTTTGATCCACCGGAGGCACCATTGGATTGGGGATTGTAGAGTTTAAAGTGTAGTATACAAAAGATTATTACAACTACAATGCGGAGTAATAAACTTTTAAAGTGTAAAATTGAACCAAACACGACTCAAAGCTTCTTCAACACCACCAATGAAGTGTTCTTAATGTTGAGCTCAAATTTGTGCCACACCGGATCATGCACCGTCGTCCACGAGAATGACAATGGATATATCGAGAAAGGATCCGCCGGAAGCCATCAAGAATTTCGCCGAAGTTATGGAAAGCTCCCACTTGGTTACCTCCCTATATTCTCTCTCAAATGTTATGCTAAGTCTAAGTAGAGAGAATGAAGAGGTCATGAAATTATAGAGCCAATTCATTTGAATTCAAAATTCAAATATTGTACTATGGTCTAGAGAGTGACAATACTAGTATAGGTAATTGACCACTAGATTAAATCCAACAATTGGATTTAATCTATGGTTCATATTACTCAATAACTAGCACAATCCAAGTCACATTCTCTAGACCAATCAACTTGCACCAATACTATGTTGTGATCCACCTTTCAAATCTTCACCTTGGACCACATAACATCCATCGCCAAATTCCGTAGTTACAAATGATATCCATTAGTGTGGTCTTATTTTTATCATTATCGCTCACTCCAGCTTAGTACCTGCACAACAATTAACCATTGTCAATACTTAGTATTGATAAACATTTGTTGAACTTACCAACCGCAAGTACTTTTGTTCCAACATCTGTAGGGTTATCATCAGTTGCAATTTTAAGCAAAATAAAATCACCAGAAGCTAACTTCTCCCTAATGAAGTGGTACTTCACCTCAATATGTTTAGTACGTTCATGATAAACAAGATTTTTACACAACATCAATGAACTTTGACTATCAGTAAAAACCATAGCATTATCATTCAAGAAGTTTAATTCATATAGAAGGCGTTTTAGCCACATGCATTCCTTTACAGTTTCATTTAATGCAACATATTCTGCTTCAGTGCTGGAGAGTGTAACTATAGGTTGCAACTGTGATTTTCAAGTGATACAATTATCACCTTAAGTGAAGAAGTAAAAAGTGGTAGATTTCCTTTGATCTTTATCCCCGGCAAAGTCAGAATCTATATGTTCTTTAAGTTCTAATTTGTTACTTTTTCTTTTAAACACCAATCCCCTTTTCCAAGATCCAGCAAGGTATCTTAATAGTCATTTAAGTGCAGTCCAATGTGGTTTACCTGGGTTAGACATAAACCTACTCAAGAAAATAACTGCATATGCAATGTCCGGTCTTATGGTAATCATAGAATACATTACAGACCCAATGGCATTAGCATAGGGAACATTACTCATTTCATGCATTTCTTCTTCAGTTTTAGGGCATTGTGCAGATGATAAGTTCGTGTGTGCAGCTAATGGTATATTGACAAACTTAGCAAATTTCATACCAAATTTGGTTATCACTTTATCCAAATAAGACTCTTGATTAATAGTCATCCTATTATTAGCCCTATTCCTTTTAATAACCATGCCAAGGATTTTTCTTGCCTCTCCTAAGTCTTTCATGTCAAATTTCGATTTTAAAAGGTTTTTCATCTTTATGATTTCAGTTTTACTAGGACTAGTAAGAAACATGTCATCCACATATAATAATAAATAAACTTCACAACCTATTTTAGAGTTATTAAAATATAGACATGCATCAAGTTCACTCCTCTTAAAACCAATTTTAAGCATATAAGCATCAAAACTCTTATACCATTGCCAAGGACTCTACTTAAGACCATATAAGGACTTTCTAAGCAAACACACAAGTTCTGATTTTCCTTTCACCTCGAACCCTTGAGGTTGAGACATGTAAATCAATTCATCTAACTCCCCATGAAGAAAAGCTGTCTTAACATCTAGTTGCTCCAACTCCCAATCATACTGGACAACTAGGGCTAAGACTAACCTGATAGTTTTATACTTAATAACCGGTGATAATACCTCATTATAGTCTATCCCTTCTCTCTGAGTAAATCCCTTCACAACCAACCTAGCTTTGTATGTTAAAGGGTCTTTAGGTCCTACTCCTTCTTTTAACTTGTAGATCCGTTTACAATGGACTACCTTTTGATTCTTTGGTTTTTCAACCAACTTTCAAGTCTCATTTTTGTTTAGAGATTAGATCTCTTCTTTCATTGCTTTTTTCCAATTTTCAAAAGTTTCATAGTTAACCGCTTTCTCAAATGAAGTTGGTTCAACTGACTCCAAGGCTTCACCTGAAACTAGGACAAATTCCATCAAATTTGAAGAGATGTATTTCAAATTGGGCTTCACTTGCCTTCTCTCTCTATCCCTCACTAATTGGTAATCATCCAAATTAGTACCTGCAGATGTTTCTTGATTAGAGATAACAGTTTAAGGAATTTCAAGTTCAGGTTGTTCTATCACTACTTCTTGATCAGATTCTTCTAGAGGTTGGATTTCACTATCATCTAGATTATCTCCTAATCTCTTCGCCTTAAATTTCATCTTCTTTCCAGTAGAAGATTCTCCTTTCTCAGTCTGTTTGTTCTGACTTACTATGTTTTTAAGACAACACATATCAAGTTCATTGAACTTTACATCTCTACCGTTAATAATCTTAATGCCCTTTACACCTAAAACTAATAGTCTATATCATTTTACTCCCTCTGGATAAGCTAACATGACACACTTAGTAGCCCTAAGGTCCAATTTGCTCTCAACCTGATGTGCATAAGCCGCACAACCAAAGACAAATCTGGGGGTTTTCCAGATCACAACTCTTGAGGAGTCTTGAAGTTAACAGAACTAGAAGGTGAGCTATTTATTAAATAGGCAGCAATGCACACGGCTTCACCCCAGAAACCTTCAGACAACTTAGAATTAATCAACATACATTTGACTTTATCCATTAAAGTCCGATTCATTCTCTCCGTTACCCCATTTTGTTGAAGGGTATGTCTTATAGTCCTGTGCCTCATTTTACCCTTTCCCTTACAGAAATTTTCAAATTCAAAGTTGTAAAACTCTAAACCATTATCCGTCCTAAGAGTTTTCACACCCTTTCCTATCTGATTTTCAACTAAGGCAAGCTAAGACTTAAACTTACTAAAAGTTTCAGATTTGGATTTAAGGAGATACACCCAAACTTTCCTCGAGTGATCATCAACAATGGATAGAAAAAATCTATTTCCTCCATGTGTGGGGTATTTTTCAGGACCTCACAAATTTGCATGAATGTAATCCAATGGTCTCTTAGTGCTGTGCTTACCTATCCCAAAGCTAACCTTGTGTAACTTTCCTAGAACACATGTCTCGCAAAAACTTAAAGGTGTAACACTATCCTTGCCAAGTAAATTCTGGTCACTAAGGTATTTCAATCCTTTGTTCCCAATGTGTCCCATCCTCTTATGCCAAAGATCTGATTTATCTTCACAAGCTAAAGATAATGCCGACTCTTTACTATCTAAGGTTTTACCTTGAAGGACATATAACCCATTTTTCTTGGGACCTTTCACAACCACTAGAGATCTCTTACAAATCTTTAAAGTACCAGCATGAGATTTGAACTCATGACCTTCTTCTTCTAGAGTGCCTAAGGAAATGAGATTCCTTGCCAGGCCCGGGACATACCTAACACCTTTAAGGGGTCTAAAAATGTCATCATGCATCCTAATAGCAATATCACCTACTCCTTCTACATTGTGTGTACGATCATCCCCTAAGTATACTTTTCTAGGATTCACATCTCTATAGTTATAGAACCAAGATTTAACAGGACACATATGAACAGTAGCACCTGAGTCTAATACCCACTCAATGTCAAAATCAATATTAGAAACATTCATGACATGTATGTTATCACGAGCACCATTTAACTCGGTGTCAAAATCTCCTGACACGGTCATAACATGTAGGCAATGGAGGGAATCACTTACAGCAACTAAGTTATGATCATCATTGTGCTACGGTCTTTGTTTCTTTTTAAGGTCATTACAGTCTTTCTTGAAATGTCCTAACTTGCCACAATGGAAGCATTTCTTACCACTCTTATCTCTAAACTTAAACCTACCCTTCGATTTTCCTCTGCCCTTCTTACTTTGAAAATGGTTCTCCCTCGTCTCATTCCTCCATCTAGCAAACAAACTCTCTTCTCTTGAGTTACCTCTCGACTATTTCTTAAGCTCTAGCTCCCTAACCCTCAAAGCATCAGTCACAATATCTTAGCTCAAAGTATCCCTAGCATACGTGATAGAATTCCTAACATCTCTATAAGAATTGGGCGTAGCATTTAAACGTATAATCGCTAGATGCTCATCATCAAATTTCTTGTCGTTGTGGGCCAAACACTTGACGAGTCTGTTAAAGTCACTCAAATTTGATTCAAGGTCCAGCTTAAAACTAAACAGTTTTTGAAGC